ATAGGTGGATGCCCAAGGTATGCCAAGGCCCTGGATGCTGGCAGTGGGGATTGGTTTTTATTCTACAGGCAATGGCAATCTTCCTTAAAAGATCTTTGGGCAGAGCAGCTCAATAGATATTCCTCATTTAATGTCCTGTTTAATGACTGTTTGGATCTATGACCCATCTTTTCTTTTTGTGCAGTTCTACATCCTGTTAATAGAGCTTCAGTTTCTTTTTCTGTACATATACCTTGCTTACACAGTCCCACAATTTTTATTATACTATATATAATACAGTACTATCGTTTTATGCTGTAATTACAGTACAGCATGTAAGAGTTATACAAGTAAAAGCCAAGTCATCAAGTTGAAGTTTCATCATTTCTTTGTTGAGTATTCTGCTCTACACGCCATGCAGTTCCCCATGTAGTGACAAACCAATTTAGCAACTTAGCCATGGTAAGGGAACTCAGGACTTTGTAGTTACAAGGAATGCTTGTATCATCACATTCATCTGGGAGGTTAATGTGTGACTGCATTTGAAGCAGCCATTTGCAAAAGCACTATGCAGCCCAGCAATATCAGCATCATCCAGGAATGTTAGATGATCTTCCTCCACAAAAAGGGTGGGCCTTAAGAGAGTCAGTCAGCTGATGACCTTGAGAGAAAAACCAGATCTCCTGAGCAGGAAGGAACTGTCTTGATTTAGTTTGGATTTAAGACTGTAACATTAGCTCTTACTAGAATTTCAACACTACCCTGTATACTTTCCAATCCTTATAGTTCTATGAGGCAATTCTCTGAAAAACTATCTATAGGCATAAAGTAGCAGTTTAGTATAATCTCTTTTCTTCTTTCTATTAGGTCCTCTTAAAGACTACAGAGAGAATTGAGGGCCACCCCTGACCTACTACTTTAGAAACTGTGGAGAAAAGCTGGGTATGATGAAATTCCAAATTCAGTCACTGGTTTAGAAAAGAAATGGAGAACAAGCAAGTGTGACTTATTAATAGCTTGAAATAATCGTGGACGTAACTGGTTACTGGGTGAGGGGCTAAAGCATTTTGGTAGCTACTGACATTAGATTGCTCTTGAAAAATAAAACTACTTAAAAAGCTCTATTTACAAATCTAGAATAAGAGAAAAAGGGACTGACATTACCTTGTTCTCTGTTTCCTCTTGAGGAAAAAAAACCCTACAACTTAGACTATGAGATTTTGAAGAGTTTCCATGACTATTCAGATTCTTCCAGGACATTGAATGTTTCAACTCTCAGTCCCTATTTTGTAATCTGCCTCTGATCTTTTGAATTTATTTTCTAGTTTAAATTACCACAAAAACATATAAATTACTTCTAAAAGTCATTCATAAGGTTATTATTCATACTCATAATGCTAACAACTGATTTTTAGTTATGTTATTTTCCAAATTCTGCTATTTTTAAAAAGCCCACTGAAAGATATTCACAAGTTTTACTCTTATTAGACCACACTTGAAACATCTCCAATGTCCATGAATAGGTAAGTGGAAAAAAGACTCCAATACATTCATACAATGAAACACTAGTAAGTAAAAAAGGGAACAATAATTGTTCCTTGAGCTAACATGAATTGCAAAAGCAGAGTTTAGTGCAAAAGCTAGAAACAAGTAAGTACATAGTTTATGAATACACATAAAATTCTAGAGCACGCACATCCAAATTATAGACCCCTTATATAGAGGTCAGAGTGGGTGGAAAGATGAGCAAAGACTGGGAAAGTTAGAGGGAATGCTGGTTGCACAGCTCTATGTGCCTGTTAAAACTGAAACTGGTGTACTTAGTATACATTGAATATACCCCTATTTGTTTAGCAGTGCTGAGGATTGAACTCAAGTCCCTCATGAATGTTAGACTAGTCCTCTATTTCTTGGCTTCACCTTCAGGCTTACATCCCAATTTAAAAAACTGCACACAGCTCTAGTAAGTCACAGGATACTTACTTCCTCCATCTGGATTCTGGGGGCACAGAGAATATTAAAGATCAAAGACAATGTAAAAGTCCCACAAAAAATTCTCAAGAGTACTATTCTTCCCCCAGAGCTAGGGATCAAACTGGCCCATGGCTTTGTATGTATTCTGTCTATCACTGAGCTACATCTTAAGTGTTTTTTTTTTTTTTTGAGATACAGTCTATGTAGTTCGGGTTAGCCCTGAATTCCTTATGTAACTTAGACTGGCCATAGTGATTCTCTTGCTCCAGCCTTTAGAGTGCTGTGGTTGCAGGTGTGCACCACTATGCCTAGTAAAACAATGCTTATACTCCTAAGCCACCAAAACAAAACTGTCAGTGTAGGTCAACTGTTAAAGGAAATCTTCAGTTTTGTTCATGAACTCTGCCTATACCTGTATCAAGATTTCTACCTAGGGGTCTCTATATAATGGGCCCTCTGTCTAAGATATGGTGGCTGAGTTTGTTTAAAGTTGTATCTGCATTTTCTAATCTGTTCCACTGGCCCTCAAGTCGGTTGTTTTGCCAGTACCGTCCTGATTTTCTCACAGTAGCTTTATAGTATAAGTTCAAGTTAGGGACTGTGATGTCGTCTGCCTTGCCTTTGCTGCCCTGGACTGCCTTTACTATTCTTGGTCTATTCTGGTTCCAGATGAGTTTTAGGAATGTTTTCTCTAGATGTGTGAGGTATGTTAATGGTATTTTGATCCATCTTGCATTCAATTTGTATACAATTTTTGGAATATGGCCATTTTCACAATGTTGGTTCTTTCTATCCATGAGCAAGGCATATTTTCCATTTTCAAAAGATAAACTTGAGGCTTTTATGAGTAAATGGATGCAACTAGAGACCATGCTGGTAAGTGAAATAAATCAGACTCGCATGTGTAAATATCATATTGTCTCTTTGGTGTAAGAAATTGAAGAGTAAATAAAATCCAAAAGATACAATAGGGCTGGGGAGATAGCTCAATGGTATAAGCACCTTCCTGGCAAGCACAAGGACATGAGTTTGATCCCCAGTACCACATGCTGTACAGCCAGGGAAGCTCGGGCATGCTGTGCTGGCCACCAAAACAGGGCTGGAGATGGAGACATGAGTATCACTGAGTCCCAGCTGCACAGCAAGACCCTGTACCAAATAAATAAATAAAAAGATTTTTAAAAAATTCAAAAGGTACAATAGATATAGTGAAAGGGAAAGAAACTGCTCAAAAGAACAACTGGGATGAGGGAAAAGGAAAAAAGAAGAAAAAATATACATATACACATATCGCTACAGTAACTACCATTAATTTCTATTTGTTCACTGAAAAGAACAGTTAGTGTTTACATTGTCTGACCAATCTTACATGCCTGTATCTGGTAATCTGAGCAATTACTTTGAAGATAACAATATGCAATATAATGATTATTAATTTCCTACCATGTTTGGAAATTGTCACAAACATGCAGTGAAGCTAGCAGTTAACAAAATATTTATTTTATTGTAAAATTAAAAATAGTAAACAAGCATATATTGTTACAATTTCAAAGCAGAATACAAATATATAAATTATTGCAGTTTTCAAAGAAAATATAACCAAATGTCCAAATAAACTGTTGTGAAACAAACTAGTTTTAATCATAGCAGTTTCATTTTCCCCCCCAGATGTCTCAGCACAATTTTGTAAATAAATTTCTAACACTAAAACCAGACTAAGTTCAATGACCAAAGCACATGCTTGAAAGCAAAGTGTACACGTGTACACATACACACACACACACACACACACACACACACACACACTTCTTTAGGGTCAGGTAAAACTCATTCCATGGTTTTGCTTCATCTTAGTTTAAAATTGTGGGATAACTTAAAAATCACTGAAATGTATTACTAATGTGGACTCTTTAAAACCAGATGTAATAGTAAAATTACATATCCCAAACTAGGACCTCATGGACAGTAGGCAAATAGTAGGCAAGCAACTCCATCCCCAATATCTAGCGCTAGAGCTTGCTATAATACGTTCTGCGTCAAGCTGATGACAGCCTGAGGCTGGGAGTAGGTCCGACTACACCCTAACAATGACAAACCTGAAAGGATGCAGTAAAATGAAAACACTGAGACAAGACAGCTCTGATATTCCGATCTCAGCACTGTAGAGTCCTCCTTTGTGCCAGACCCTTACTATCTTATTCTAGTACACAAACTCCTTTATGCCACCACTACAAACATTAATTTGGCAAGAAAAACTTGTTGAGGGTTTTATCTTTAATGCTCACCACAAATTTTCTCATATAATCAGTCCCACCAAACTGAAGTGAAAAATGCAACTACATTCTGAAACCAATTACCTGTGCTTCACAGTCACATCTGAAAAGATATTTAAAAAAAATTATGGAGTACTAACACTCTTAAGTATTTAAAAATACTCAACTGTCTTACTTTAGTATAAACAGTATCTCTCAGTAAGTGAACTGGTAAAAGTCAGAAAAAAATACTGTAAGCCTTTAATACTGTCTGATTTAAAAATTTTCATGGACCTACTTTGTGGTTACTAACTGGAACCGCTTAAGAAAGCTACACAAATAATTTAATCTTCAAAATTCCTATTTAAATTTAAACATATACATTTTGCATGGCATTTTATGATATTAATAATGAAAGATTTCCTCTAAAATGAAACAAAATAAGAGGTAAACACTAAACACAAATTTAAAAAGTTTAAAAAACTAGCTAAAACTATAAGCCTCAAAAATGTCACCAAGGTAAACAAGCTATAAACTTAAAAAACAAGAAAGTACTTTAGACCTAGAAGAACTCTGTAGCTGAAGTTTTCGATGGCAGAGGCTATGGCTGAACCTAAGGACAGGATGGAGCCAGCGCAGGGCACAGAGCCGTCCCGGCACTCTGGAACGCTGGAGCATGACCACTGCCAAGTTAACCAAGCCTGGGCAATTAGGGACCTAGGGATACCTGCTTGAAAAATAAAATAAAATACGATAAATTTAAAAAATATATATAAAAGGGCTGGAGATACAGCTCTGTGTAAAGATATCTATTGAGATAACCAAACTCCCCCCCAAAACAACACAAAAACCCAGAATATACTTGATTTCTGAAACCACTCACAAACAAGAATTTGTCTTTTTAAATTACAAGCCCTAACTGTATATAAAAATGGGCACTTTTTGGTGACTTGAGCATACGTGTACTTTGAAAAATAAGAAGGTCTCTTTTCTCCAACATTCTTGAAAAGAAACCACACAATGGGATAAAAAAACATTCAACTGCCTGAATCATCTTTATTGGTATCTCAAGTGCACGACTTTTTCAAAGGACCAACTTAGATATTAATACTGGAATCAAAGAATAGGATGATAAACTTATAGTAAACATAAATAACTTAAAACCACTGTCCAATTTACTTAGTTTTTGTGGTTCTGGGAATCAAACCCAGGGCCTTAAATTTGCTAGGCACATTAAAACTTTGATTTTTAAAAATATCATATGATTAAAACTCAATTTTCATTCTCACTTTTTAAAATTTAACTCACTGAGTTATTAAGTCTGATCTAAAAAACGTGTCTTACGTCATCGCCCTCTATCCCGTGCAGTCTGAACATGTCAGCCAGGCCTGAGCAGCAATCTGTCTCCCACCATTTGCGCCACACATAATTTTTTTCCCTACATCTCCTCAAAATGTACTAAGAACTATACAGAAGAATTGCCAACTATGGAAACTAATACTTAAGTTCTCTCAAGTTAGAATTCATCTCTGTCCCTGATCTTATTTTTGCATATATAATAACTGCATATTTGATCAAGAAAGCATAGAAATATCTAAGTTTACCAAATATTTGGCTAAACTGTTGTGCAAAATACTTCAGTATTTTTTTTTTTCTTCTAGAAATTCATCTGAGTAAATACTAATGTGAGTACCAGCACCACAAGATAGTTTTTAGGAGGACTTTTCTTTTGAAACCAAGATTATTTGAAATTAGCTAAATGGAATAAATCACATCCCCCTAGTAAAACCTTACTACATGGACTACTCAATTATTCCAAACTCAGTAGTAAAACTATGTGTTCACCAGAAAAATCTTCAAGAGATTAGCAGACACTTTCTTTGGATAACACTGTTGTATTAGGACTAGATCCTATGGCTCTTATTTTGGAAATATGCTACCATTGATAACAAATGCAATGCATCCCCAACTTTTATGACTATCCCTAAGTTATCTAAACAAGCCCAATGTGTGCGCCAACCCTGGCTGCTAAGTCTAATGTATTATACCAAGAGAGTAAAGTCAATTTGAAAATATAACCATAAGTACCACACACTGAAACACTTACTGGCATAATCAGGACACGTCTTTCTTCAAATTTATATCTGAATATTTTTATATTGCACATATTCAATTTAAAGCTAATCAAACTAAGGCAAATGCATCCATCTCCACTTTCAGAATTTTAAATTCATTTTAGATGACTCAAAAACTGAGAGATTAAAAGCATCTATCAAAAGCTTCCTCTAAAAGGCTTGACAATTAAGTCATTTTTCAAAGAAAAACAAAACAAGTAAATGGGATATCAGTTAATGCCCTCAGGCCAACTTATTACATCTTAGCATTACAAAAAGTTGCTTTCAACTGCACATTTCTTTGCCTACTGTAGTACTGTATGTGCTCAAAAATGAACATCTGATCCAAGCTAGGACAGTCTATCAAATTGAATGCAGAAGTCATTCATCTCTTTATGAGAAAAGTTGTCCAGTTTATGAGCTTTTCTGTAGATTCTCTGAACAAAAGATCTACCTCACAAATATTTTGGGCAATTTTTTGGGTACCAGGAATTTGAACTCAGGACCTTGCACCTGCCAGGCAAGTCCTGTGCCACCGAACTATATCCCAGCCCTCTTACAAATGCATTTTAAGCACCAGTTGAAAACAATTTAGTACCAATTTTTAATTTTGTATTGATTATAGCTCTTGGTATAATGCAATTAAAAATATCTAGCTGCTTAAGTCTATTAAGAAACATTCAGAATCTTAATAGGTCACTTATCCTTTTAAACATGGCCTTATTTTGTTGAATTAGGAGTTTTGTTTTTCTTTTGTCAAGCAATTTTCTCTTTCCCTGTAAAGTTTAGAAAAATACCTTACAATGTTTTTAAGACTTTCAATGATGTTGAAAACAGAATTTGGACAGCTGAAAGATTTTTGAAACTTTATCCTAAAGTGGCAAAAAGAGTAATTTTTTTTTTCAAAAATACAAAATTTTCTTTTTGGGGGGAGGGGGTAACAGACACTTGAAAGTAAGGTTTGACTTACTCTGTCCAAATTCTAACACATGAAAGTAATAATAAAATAAGTGAAGTGGAAGAGGCTATCATATTTATGGAGATAAACTGACATATAAAAATTATTACTCTTTAACTCAGAAATACTTTTGTTAAAAAACAATAATGTATTTAGTTGAATACTTGCTTTAAAAATTATTAGTTTCTCTTTCATAAAGTTTTAGAGATTAAACAACCCAGGTAGACAGACCTCTATTCAAAATACATTTATCTTTGTAACATAAAAGTCGTAAAACATTCTATTACGAAAATAAAATGCAGTGAGCTGAAACATGGGTGGACATACTCATATATGAAAATGTAAATACTCAGAGCCACGCAAATACATTTATAAAGAGAATGAAAAAGTACCTAAAATAGCATTTTTACATACAAAATTTTATATTAAAATATTGCTCATAATAAATATGAGGTGATACTATGAATTCCATTTCTCTCTTAAAAACTGTCCTTAGTATTTCAGACTATTAGGAGTTTGTTTAACGACTGATTTGACAGGAGAATTACATAGAAACGTTTCTTTAAAAATCATACTATAACAGAACAAGTAGTCTTATGTGGTAAAAGTTAGGGAGGGACATTTAGCAATTATGGGGAAGAGGTTCCCAAAATTAAGTCAAATGATTAACCCTCTAAGGCTAGAGTATAATGATCTGCTTTATTGGATGTTAAATACAGCCTTATGCTTCGTAAGGGTTATGACCTTAAAATAATGGACCACATCTTGCTTCACTCTTGGAAGTGTGCACGCTCGGCAGACCTGTATGGGGAACATAGTATATCAGGTTCATGTACATTCCGTTCAGTTGTTCGCTCCTGTTCGTCCCACTTGCAGGCACGGTAACTTGGAACAGTTCCTGAGAAGCTGTTCAATGGCAATGTGACGGACATGGAGCTGTGATTTCAAAGAATCTTTCTCTTGCACTTGATGTGTTAACTCTTCAAAAATTTCTGTAAAATTTAAAAAGCATTTTATTTTTAATACAAGAAAGCTGATCCTATGATTTATATTTTAAGTAAATATGAGTATTCCTGCTTAAATGAATGTATTGCATGAATTTTAGCACCTATTTGATATCAAGCAGCAGTTTTCTCAAGGCCTATCTGTTAACCCCTCAAAACCTTCGTGTTTCACAAAGCTCACTGGAGGATGGTGCCTCTCTTCTCCAGCAGGGGAAAGCAATGATTATGGACACACAGCACAAATCTTCCTTACTACTAAAATGGGGCCATTTTTCATTGAGAATCTGGAAGTAGGTTTATTCAGTATTCAATATGACTTACAAATAAGAAATGCCTATTATTATCTAGGTCTGGATACGCTTTTAAGAAGCTGGGAAATCAAATTACCTGGATTTTCAAACGCTTGTTTCTATTACCACATTCTTCAGGCATGACTTTCAGTTTCATTTTGTATACAAAACTGAAGTTGGTGAACACTTTATAGTTACTCAAGGATTTAGACTGTAATAAGTATGTGCTAAAGTATAAACTGCTATTGCTATTACTGTTGTTATGATCCCGGGCTCATGTACAGACTCTCTCCTCATATAGTGGTCTCCCTCCTTTTCTATGTTTATAGTTAAAAACAAGAAGGACAAAATAAGCCAGGACAAATACTGCCTGCCCTAAAGACCTGCCCTAAAGAAGGGAGCTCATCTCCACACTGTCCTGCAAAAAAGTGCATAGCAGAACGTAAGAAGTAGGGAACAATCCTAGTCTCCATTTTCACTTAGGGAAGGAAGGAAGACATTTCTACTGCAATTCATAAAGAGGCTATTCTCTTAATTCTTTTTGCTTTGGGAACTAAGAGGATAAATTACACAATTTACAAGTGTGAATGCTGCTGAAGCCTGTGATGTCCTATCACAGATTTTCTGTATCAAAATGTGTACATGTTAAGAAATACTCAAGACTGATTCATTACCCTGGATTTGCTGTCGAAGCTTCGTATTCAGTTGTTTTACCTCATCATGCGTCATTGAATTCACTGAAACATGAAAATACATACATCGTTACCACAGCTTCTGGGAGAATCAGCTGCCTGATGCAATGCCCTCCTGAAACAAACTGCAGCTGTCTGCCAACACAGGAGGCAGCATCTCAGGACTCACTCAGTAACTCTCCCAGTGTGGGTTTTCACATCCTGACACATTCTACCCCGCCTCCTGTAAGAAACATACTTTACATGACTACCAGTCACACCAACTTTAACCTCAAACAAAACTTTCATCAAAGAATAGTAGCGTATTTGATGGTTCCTGATCACTATCCATCAAGCGGATTTTGACTAAGCATTACATATTTCATGACCTGCAGTTGGAAAACACGAAGTAACCTGAGATAACACATGAACAATCAAGCAGGTGTAGGAAAGATATTTAAGGTCCCTTCTGGGTCTAAAATAATTTGATTTAAAGTCAATTACAATTACGTGACTTTCTGTAAATTTTTACAGAGGCAGATACAGACAAAATGAACCACTTTTCAAAAACTGTAAGTAAATGTACACATTACCATTTACCCTTCTGTAAAGTGTCTGATTTTTGCTTAGCACCCCTAGTCAGTTAGTTCTGTAGGGGTTATCAATGCAATGACAAATATTAGTCAGTAGTTGATGCTGAATTTCTAAACTACCTGACTCTTAACTGCCAATTCGATAGTGACTCCATTCACTTCAGGTCACTTAAAACAGAACAAGTGACAGGAGCGCTGCACCTCAATTTGCAGGGCACACTGCAGAGCACTCCAAAGAATAGCTGCCTTTAAGACCTCTCTTGTTTTTGCGAAGGAGAATCTATCATTTAAATACTGTATTTAACAAATCTGATCCTACATCTAAACTCTTGATGTATTACACATATTAGAAATGTAAAAATTGCTGCATCACCCAAGAAACCAAAGTAAAAGCGTTTACTTTTATAAATGTTACCCTGCTTCCCGTTTTACTTACATTCCTCTCTGCTGTAGTGCAGAGTCGGCGTCCGGACGCTGGTTTCTGGACAGAAGGTGGCCTCTTCTTTCGGTGCCTTGCTGTGACTATGAGGCCACAAGACACTGTCATGGCGTAACGCGGCACCTGGCCCTTGTAACACAGCAAGCCCAAAGTCTGTGTTTTCTCTCTGCTCCAAAATCCCTTGGCTACAGTTGGAGATGGCACTAGCGCTTCCATCTATCCATCTTGCAGAATATTTTGGTACTTGAGAGTCAAACTGTGGAAGCAATTTCTTATCTGGATTATGCCTGAAATTAAACAGGTGATTCTGGGGGCCTTTAGAACACTCAGAATCTGAGTCCAGATCTTTATTTTGTGCATACTGTACAATCCAGTTTATCTTCTTACTCAAAATGGTTTTAACTCCTTCGTAAGTACTTTTGGAAAGCTTGGCTCGAGGACAATCTTGGTTTGCAATTAAATGATATTTCTCAAAACAATCTTTATGACCCCTTAGTGATTTGGTGTGCAAAAGATTAGACTTTGGTACTCCTATGGGAAAAAATACAGAAAGGATTAAAATTTTATATTCTTTTCTCAGTTACTCTAAGAATATATAAATCTTGATTAAATACAAGTTCTGATAGTCCTTGAGAGAAAAATACTAAACAATGATGACATAATAATCTTAAAAGCTGGCCTAATCATTTGTGCTTTTATTTAACTATAAGTATAGTAATATTCTTAGAGATGGCAAAGAATTTCTGAAGGTAACTGTCTAACTAGGTCAAGTTTCCAGTGGCATTTTAATACTTAAATGGAAAAATCTTAAACCTCTATTAGACAGAAGCGTACACCTTCAAAACCAGGTAGAGTAACATAAAAAGGGAAATTCACAAGACTTGTTTATTAAAATAAAAACAGCAGTTTTATATACTTTTTAAAAATTTTTTTGGCAGAACTGTGGACTGAACTCAGGCCCTTGCGCTTGCCAGGAAAGTGCTTATTCTACTGAGCCATCTCCCTGGCCCCCAGTTTTATATACTTTAGATCATAAATAAAATGTTACAAGTTATACCCTAAGTAAGATACAGTTCCATTTTACTGTTTCTAATGTTTCTTCTCTGACAAACACACATGCAGCACAGAGAACTTAATCCTGCTTACTTACTAACTTTAAAAAATTTATTAAAGAGCTTCCCTAGTCTCCGAAAACTCTGTTAGGTCTTGCTACTGACAGATAGCTAGCTAATTTATACCTGAAAACACAGGTAATTTCACTCTCTGTCTCTGTAGCAATGATTTAGCTGTACATTAATATAGTAAATTATGTTTCTCATTTAGTCTGCATGAAAGAAAATTCTTCATATTAAAAAATTCTATGTTAAACTTCAGAAAGCAGTTTTTGCTGTTAAAAGTAAACACTGCTCTCTGTAATAAAATTTAGAACTTGTTTTCAGATATTTTTCAAATGGGAAGAGGAATAAGAGATAGATGAGGGAGGGAAGGAAAAAGGGAAAATGTATTTAAAAAAAGAAACAAAAAAAAATGGAAATACAGCTTTCTCAAATGGGAAGGGGCTCATGAGCTGGAGGGGCCAGGGAGCGATGGGGAAACAAGAGGCAGAAAGGAATGAAGACGTGGTAAGCTCATGTACAGACTCCCCATATAAATGTAGTCACCATGTACTGCAACGTGCTAGTAAAAACACCCCTGAGCTTTGCTTCAATGACAGGTCAGTAGAATGTCATTCAAAGTGAAGGATTTTTTTTTTTTTATCCAATGTTGCTTTTTACTGATTCATCTAATTTTTCTTTCCCCATAAATGATTTTGTTTAACCTTTTCTTAAAACTCATTACTTAATCTGTGAAAGGAACAGCAAATCACAGAACTACCATAATGCACTTATTGTGAAAATACATAAATTGCAAAATAAATTTCAAATTATTTAAGACATTGTGGAGAACAATGTTCTTTATAAAAACCTAGTAAGTATCAAGCACAAGAAGAGTTATGAATGCAAGTTTTGTGTAGCTTTCTACTGGACATTTCCACGTAGCTGTCACAACAGGCTCCTCAAACACACTGGCTAAACGAAGCACCTCAGCCTCACCTCACAAGCCCCGACTTCTACTGAATCTGGTACCACCAACCACCTACGGAAGAGACCTGAGAACCTGCGTGTCTATTTTTCTTTAAAAATGAGGTCTAGGTCTTGTTATGTAGTTAAGGCTGAGCTTAATAAAGTCACTACTTATTCCAGGGCGGCCTCAAACTCAGGGCAATTCTCTTGCCCCAGCTTCCTGAGTGCTGGGACTACAGGTGTGCTCCACGATGCCCTGGGTGTCCTTAAAGGATCTTAAAGTTCCTCTATGGCCGAATCGCAGATGTTTGGCTGTCCACATATAGGTTTTTTCCCCTCATAAAATCAAGGAAGTATATTATATTGTAAATCCTTCTGCTTTGTTCAGTTACAACTCCCACTGCAAATCTGATCATTACCATCTCCTAACTAGTTCTTTCTTCCTCAGGAAAGCCTTTTCTAACCAATACATCTGGGTTAGTTTATCAAACTAGATTTTATAATGGACTCTTTTATTAGCTTTTATTTCTTGCTAGGTTGAGTTCCTTGAAAGAAGGGACCAGTGCTGTCTTACTCATATGCCTCAATGCCATGGTGTCTGTCACAAGAAGGTACTCAAGTAGTTAAATAGATAAGGAAACCTGCAGTATATTTAAAATAAGCTCCAATAAACCTTCTTACTGCTTGCTTGTGATCTACTGCAATGTACTGTTTGCCCATCCTACCAAGAGAACCATGCCATGCAGTTCGGAGAGGACGCTTGGAGAATAACAGCATCTTTCAGTGAAGTTACTATTTTATTTAATCTAACTAATTTCTAAGGAAATTAGTCTAACATGACTGGTGATAATACAGAAATGGCATTCCTGTGGCATGGTTCACTGTCAATAAAATCATAAACCTCTACTTCAGTATATATTTTTAAATAGAAATGTACACATAATAAGTATGTAGAGGGCTGTCATATACAAACTATACCTCCATTTCAGAGCTATACCTCTTCTTTTACTGTCAATTATATGGAATATTTAAAATTTGACTTAATTTTAAATTCAATTTGAAAATGCTTTATAAAAGATTTAAAAATCTCATGCAGTAGCATAGAAAATAAAATCTTAAAATACATTAACTAGTTCATATAAGTGAACAAATTCATTTTTAATCTAGAAAAGAATGTGAGTACCTCATTTAATTTATAACTAATATACAGGTCACTTTATAAACTCTAATGATGCCCCCCTACTTTATCATTTCAAATTAATACAGGAAAAACAACCATTGCTATTATGAGAATCAGGGAATTTCCCAAATGGCTTTTCAATTTTAACTGCATTTATAAGTGTAAATAGTTCTGAGCAAAAATTTGTTTCCAAGTGTCTTTTGAAAGGGATTGAAGGTAAATATAATTACATGATAAACTGATATTTTTGAGGGCTGCAACTTTTAAGAGATTTCAAGACCAGTTCAAAGACTTCCCTATAATATCTTTGCTCATAAAAAATTTAAGGGCCAGTGTAACATCCTAATTTTAATGAAAACTTCCTTAAAACATGGTTCGAAGATGGCCTCACCCGTTTTTCTATGATGAGGGCATTATTAAGAGAACTAAAACCTTAACTGGCAACCATTATTGTAATTTTTTAAAAATAATTTCTTTTGGATAGTGGATATTTTAGAAATATCTATATTTCTGTATAAACTGGGATATTTCAAAATTTAAGCTGTTCCTATTTAACAATGCCTCTTTAAAAAAAATCTTGCAGTTTTACTACACATCATTCTTAAAACATTTCCTAAACCTTCCCACTATGTATAAATGTGGTGATTAGTGTTAAACCCAGGAAGCTCTTACCCATGCTAAACACGTGCTCTATCACTGAGCTATAACCCCAGCCCCACCACACTTCTATTCTCTCAGATGAATTGTTTTATGAAAGCGTGGTTAGATAAACAGAAGAGCAAAAGCTACTCACATGAAATCTTTTATTTCTAGTTGGCTACTGGTGCTACCCATTTAAAACTGTGGTTATTTTTACCTTATATTTAATCTGCCTATTATAGTATGTTTTTTCCCTAACAAAGATGGTATTCCAAACGGTGAAAAAAAAAAAGACATGAAAAACAGAAAATTTACAGCCAGGAGTGGTAGTGCACACTGATAATCCCAGTGCTTGAGACAGGCAGGAGGACTGTTGTGAATTGAGGCCACGTGAGCCACCTAGTGAGAGCTTGTCTCAAAAAACAAAACAGACAAATAACACTTTTACCGCATATTCCATTATCTTCTGCTTTTACCTCTAACCTCTGGAAAGAGGATCTTGCCTGTGATTTCATAAAGTAAGCTATCATTTCCTTCCGGGTCATCAGCTGGTAATGTCAAACAGGTCTGCTATACTGATACAGCACAGTTTTATACTTCATATATTCTAGAACCACATCATCTGACTAGCTCATCCACATGTTTAGTTGTCAACTAGATGTTTCAATTTGATTACCTATTCCTATTTCCAGTCAAAGTCAAATACTTGACATCCCATAGATGCAGCAAATAGACAATTAGCAGTTGAATATAAAGTTATAATACACACACTTGGCAGCCCTGGCGGGTCACTGTGCATCATGACCACACACTAACACAGATCTGAAGTGCTGGAATATAGATACTAGGTGTCTCACTGGTGCTTTGACACCCAACTTAACTAGATTACTAGCTGTGCATTTGATCAGCAAGCGTGGCCAAAATTCATGAAAAGCTATCACCATCTTATGTAATGCTAATTCCTGACAGTCAGTGGGAAGTGCCCTGGTTGTCTATCCTGTCCTACAAGTAAAGATGGGAAGACAAGGATGGATAGGTGAATACCTACTTCCTTCCTAAACCTACACTGCATAAGTTTCTGCTCCTCAGAAATTTCATCATTTGCTCCTTGCGCATGTCCCGAGCACAGGAGTGCCCCTTCATTTCCCCTTATGCACTCAGCTAACTCAAGGGCCACTTAAACAGCTGAACGGAGTGTGCAAGGTTCAAGCACCCACCGTATTGTTTAAAAGTAAAAGGTAACTGCTTATGTTTGCACTGGTAGTAGATGGAGTTACTGGCAGCCACACTGAGCCAGCACAGATGGGTTCTCCAACTTCACTCTCCACACTTGCGAATCACTGCCCTAAAGAAAGACACGTATGCGGGCGGTCTTTCGAGGGCAGATTTCTGCTCGGGGATATTTATACCATGTTCACTTTTGTGTGTGCTAAAGGAAGTAATGAGCAGTTAATAAAGTCAGCCAAATCCAGTAAGTTAATTATACGGGCTAACTGCAGTGAGGTAACAGTTCAGAGAGAAGCTACCAAAAAATAAACCTCCACCTCAAATAACCAAGAAAACAAACTAGAACAGATCTCTGTATTGGTAAGATAAATAAATTGCAAATGATTTAGCAAAAAAATAAAACAAAAAGCTTCTCTCAGTGA